CTGCTTGCATCTGCAGTAAGGAAGGGGGCGGGCTCAGGAAAGAAACAAAATGGCTTCCGCCAGCTCCTCCATCCAGGAGAAAGCTGCCCCTCCCGCCCTCACTCTGATGCCAGGCAATTCCGTTCCTCCGTGTATGTCCCTGGCATTTTTCAAGCTGCTGCCCCAGCGCTGGAGCTCAGAGAGAGTGAATCCAACAAGTAAGTCTGTGCGCGGGCCTCTTAAGAGAAGCACCTGGGAATCGAGCCGCCCTCCATCTGAATCAGCCACAGTCTCCACTGGTTTTCACAAGCAGAAGTTAAGGAGACTTTTCTGCCCAGCTGGGGAGGGGCTGCTCCTCAGGGTGGGGGATCTCTGCAGCTGAGATATCCCTCCCGACTTTTTTGGTCAAATGTGGGTGTGGAACCAGCTTGCTCCGCATCTCTGTCCCTCCTACCAGCCTCAAGGTGGCTTCTCCTGTATGTAGTTGTATGGCTTCAGTTCAGCTAGACTTCAGGCGATTCTCAATAATGGTTGTTCTGTGGTTTAGTAATTGATGTGGTCCTGAGAGGAGGTGAGCACAGTGTTTACCTACCCCGCCATCTGTACTGGAAATCTTCACCATCCTGCTTCTGATAGACCGGGTTGACCAATAACGATGATCAAAAAAACTTTTAAAAGGGCCAATAAGCACATCTTTGAGAGGAGAGGAAAACCACCATCTCAGAAGGCTGCATCTGATTTCAGAGGCCTCAGAGAAATTCCAAGCAATAGATTGGGGAGTGGCAGCTACCAAAACACAGAAGCAGCTGGCTGTGGGAGCTTGTGTGTGTAAGAGAGGAGAACTTATGAAGAGCACATGCTACAAGTAACTGTACCTCTTTACACTTATATTAGACTGGCAGAAGTCAGAAAGCTGGATCGTGCCAGGGGCTGGGTGAGGCTGTGTAGGTACAGGCATGTTGTGTGTTGCTGGTGGGAGGGCAGGCTGGTGCCGCCATTGTGGAGAGTGAGCAAGCACTGTGTTATATGTGGTGAGAGAAGTTGGCGGAGTCTGGGAGAATGTCGCTGGGAGAGTGGGGAGGCAAAATGTGGTACATGCATTGGAGTTTATGCAGCAAGGAAGCAATGGATTAGCTGTACCTCTAGTGCCATGGATGGATCTTAAAAACCATTCTGAGTGAAAAAGATACAAATGAAATATATAATAATGCCAACTGTGAAATTTAAATATATGTGCACAGAACAGCAAAACACATTTTACAAGAATGCATACAAACAAAAAGATACACATTAAACACGTCAGAATAGTTGACTGAAGTACGGGAGGAGGTCCTGTGGAAATAATGAAAACGAGAGAGGAGAAAAATAGAACTTGAAAGAACCTGAAGGGTGGATACTGGTGCTCAGGCATTTCCTAATGGAAAACCTTGTGGGTGTGTGTCCCCATTCCTCCAATGGCTTGTTGGTAAATGTTTAACAATGGGCTCTCCAAGGGAAAAATAAACCCTGGTTCATGGTGTTTGCTGACTTCCAAGGTGAAAACACTCCTACCACAGCTGATTTTAAGCTGCCGATGTGACTCACTGAAAGCAGCTTGGGAGATGCACACACTGTTGAGTCTGCTCGATGGAGTTTATCATTTCCTTCACTACCCCCTGAGATTGTCAGTAAGTTGACTGATAATTGTGACGGTAACCTTGAAAGGCAAAATATTTATAGGACCAAAATAAGGCACAGCTTTAGTGGAGTGCCATTTTACTTGTCTGATACACACTGCACACCCTTTAAAAAGATTCATGGAACATGTACCACCATGCCAAATGAAGTGTTTTCTTTTTAATTTCTTGAAAAACGGTAGTTATGTTTTAGTCTCCCCAATCATTATTGGCCAAATAAACCATGACTTAAGAATTATCCCCCAAATGTCTGTTTTTCTCCCCAAAATGCTAAAAAGATAAACTGTTGCCTAGCCATCAATATAATTTTATAGGAAAGATAGTAAATGCTATTTGGCAGAGATATGCAATTAGCATCATATTTCCTAGAAGAGAGCTGTTTTTTGAAAGGATCAACCATTACTGGTAAAAGGGCTAGATAGGCCTCTACCAACATACAGTCAAAACTTTAAATTGTTCATCCTTTAAAAACTGCACACACACTGGAAGCATTTTCAGATTTTCCTGAGCAGACAAGTACTATTAAAAAAAATTGGGGGGCGGCCAGTTAGCTCAGGTGGTTAAGAGCACAGTGATCATAACACCAAGGTTGCTGTTCAATCCCCGCACGGGCCACTGAGCTGTGCCCTCCACTACTAGATAGAAACAACTACTTGACTTGGAGCTGATGGGTCCTGGAAAAACACACTGTTCCCCAATTAAAAAAAAAAAAAGAAAAGAAAGAAAGGACCAACAGAGTGGCGCATTGGTTAAGAGCTGGCTTGGGATGCCAGAGGACCCCGGTTCGGATCCCACATATGAGGGCCAGTGACACTGCCCCCTACAGCTAAGATGCTGAGTCGCCGGCGACAGTGTAGGCTGCAGCCCCTGCTGCAGTGGGTTGCCATGGGCTACCGTGTGTAGCCAGCAGCCCCCGAGAGCGGCCGTCCAGAGGTGGGGGACTGATCTGCCTTGTCCGGGAAGAGCGCAATGATGGTGCCAGCTTGGGCCAGTGAAGCAATGTCCTCCATAACTACACTGAAAAACAAAAAGGACAGCAACTTGTCTGGTTCCCCTTCCCCCAATTCCCCAGCGCTGTTCCCATCCCCCAATTCCCCAATAAAAATCTTAAAAAAAAAAAAAAAAAGATTCTTCCCTGTCATCCCATTAGAGCAGGGTGTCTCAACCTCAGCACTATTGACTTTTTAGGTCAGATAAGTCTTTGTTGTGGGGGCTATCTGTACACCGTAGGGAGTTTGGCAACATCACCGGTCTCTACCCACAGTGCGCATACCACCCCCTTAGCTGTGACAACTAAATATAGCTCAGGACCATTACCATTTGCCATCCCTGGGCAGCAAAATCACCCCAGTTGAGAACCACTGCATTAGAAACATCCAAATCTTTAATCTTTTCATCACATCGGTCACATTTTCCCTTAGCAGGCCTTGCTAGGAAGGCATTATAAAGCAGCTATCATTTGAGTCGAGTAATGAGTGAGCTGCAAGAGGTCCATAAATCTTTATAAATTGCTTTTGTTTCTGTTACTGTTTCATAAATATGTTCCAAATTCCTTGCACTGTAGACAAACTATGTGAAAGATTAGTTTTTGCCATGTGCTATGACCAAAACAGAATTCTCCATCATCGGATGTCTTTTTTCTTAGTTTGATTTTTAAAAACAGAGTTGTCTTTGATGGGTCAAACCCTGCCAAGCAGCTAAATTAGGTATTAATTACCAAGTTTCAAAAAGCCTTTCAAATAGCCCTTCCTGCTCTCTTGCTACCGTAAATTCACCTTGCCTCATACAACACGTTTTAACTTTCAAAGATATGACAAGGCAAGGCAGTTCGTATCCTCATCTGACCAATGAGGAAGCTGAAGCTCGGAAGTTAAGGTCAAACTATGACCAAAGTAACGCAACTTGCTAATGGCAAGACCGAACCTAAAATCCGGGAACCCTGGCATGTCACGAGATCGTGCTGCTCCCTACCACCCAAGACCTCTCAGGCTATTATTTTCTGAAGAGAGGGAGAAAGAGAAGACAGGAGGGAAGGAGAGGGAGAAAGACGGAGAGTGAGAAAGGGACAGAGAGATGAGGGAAATGAGGAAAAGTGTGGAAATCAATGTAATCTCCTGTTATAATTCATAACTAACTTATGCTGAAATTGAATGTATTATTTTTACTGATGACTTAGTAAAGCCTGTTTAATAAGTAGTAAAATAGAAAAATTCTGTAACAGTGCACAGTATATATTTCTTCCTGAGAGCTTGAAGCTTGCAAATGAAAATTGATTTTCCTGAGTTTTCTGAAATCTGAGCTGGAAAAAGACTTCCAGACTCACGGTTCCAAACATCCCAGTACTTCAGGCTACAGGTTTCTTTACTGTCAGTTAACCTGAATTCTCGGGCACTCCTGGATGGCAAATAAAAGGACCCAGACATAGCCAGTCTTTTTGACATGACACAACCCAAATGTCTCCTCCTATTTGAGTTGACCCTTCTAGTGCTAGGAAATAGCTCCTAGGAATCTACAAATTAATTTATATATGCAGATGCCCTTTTCTTAGATGATGTATGTTTGTCTGTCCCTTCTACTACTACTCTTTTTTAGGCTTTGTCCCCTTTTTAACACTTTCTTGAGAATTAAAATAATTGGTCTCTGATTTATCCTCTTCATTGATAAAATCTATGTATTTTTTCACCTGAAAATTAAAGCCTCAGCTTATTACTCTAAACCAGGGGGGTCATTACATTCTTTTTGTAAAGGTCCAGATAGTAAATGTTTTAGGCTTTGTGGGCCACATAAGGTCTCTGTCATATATTCCTTTCTTTTTTCTAAACATTAAAAAAATGTAAAAACCATTCTTGAGTATCATACAAAAAGTCTCTGGCTATCTTAGTTTATCAACCCCCTGCCCTAAATAATTCATTTTAAATGGGCCTTTAAGTAGCCCATTTGGAATTAGTTGGAAGTTTACACATTCAGACTTTTGAAGACAAACAAGAGAACCAAGGCCAACTTGCTGGTAATTCAGAAAGGCCAGTGGGGAGAGGGTCTCCTAACGCTTCTCCCTTAAGGATATGAAGTGGAACCTCCACTTTGCTTAGTTTTGCCTTAAAAAGCCTGAACCCAGGGAAGCTGGCTGACAGGGATGAAAGTGAGAGAAAAACACGAACAACAAGGCCCGTTTATTTTACACTGCCTCCTGAGGTAATTCATGTGGGAAACGGTAGGCTAATCGTTAAAACGCTCTCTAGGCTTAGTTTATTCAGCACACACCTCAGTCAATCCCAGGGGGGAATCCAGGCCACTGGTAGTGTCTCCAAGATATGGATCCTGATTTCCACAAAATGGCGCGGCAGATTCCAAACGGTAGAACTTTATTTTAATGAAAATGTCTGATTTTTAAGGTAGCTCTTTCCCCCACCACTAGAACGCAGCTTTATCGCTAAAAAGCAATCCATTTATTTAAGTGTACTCTTTTTAGGCAATTTTAACTGTTTCCACCGTCGTAAGACCACTCTGTATTTTTCACTTTCAGTCTTCTCTTCAAACACTTTTTTCAGGAGAATCCGCATCACCGTTTCAGTTTCTGCTTCTTTATCTTCTCCAATTAGAAGATCCAATGTATCGCCTACTTTCACCTGAAAAGTAAAAGAGAGCTGAGCCTTCATTCCATCTTGGGAAATGCGGGCCACCACAGACATCCCCCCTACTTTGCGTTTTTACCAGGTGATCCTCACCCAGGGGGCAGTGAGAAAAGGTCCCGGTTCCTCTGTAAGTCCCTAGGGCCTCACTCGGATGTGCTTCAAACACACGTGGCGTAATGCCAGCCAGTGTCCTTTCTTCAGACCTAGACGACTGGCCGCTTGTGGACAGTCCCTGTGTAGTGGGGCTCAAATACTCGCCTCTAGTGGATGAGTTAGGGAAACTCGGGTACAGAGCCATTTATTCTGGTAACAATGGCAAAGGACAAAGAAAGTGGGGCACAATCTTAGAGACTATGTACCCAGTAATGACTACATGCACTGAGAAGAGAATTTCCAGTGTAACACTTTCATTGATTTCAACCCATAATTGGGCACCAGGCAGCTGGTTGGAAATTAGTCACCGTGGAGCAGTGGTCAGCTGTATCTCTTAGAGAAATGGAAGTAAAGAAACTGCTTTTCTAGCCCTGGCTGGCCCCAGAGATGCCACATCATCAAGAAGAAAAACAGGAAACAGAGACCAAAGGGATGCATGCCACAGAGAGGGGGGTGGATGAGTGAGACAGGGGAAGGCGAGTAGAGTCAATATTGTGATGAATTTGCACCGTGACAGATAATAACTGTTAGAATTAGTGGGGTGATCATATTGTAAAGTATAAAAATGTAGAATCACTATACTGTACAATTGAAACTAATATAACTAATATATTATATACCAACATATTTAAATTGAACAAAAGGAGAGAGACAGGACTCAATTCACAAAGATGGAAATGTCACAGAAAAGAGGGCCAAGTTGGATGCTGACTCAGTGGGTTCAGAGGGCTGAGATCAAAGCCACTCTTGCCCAGATGGGAGCTTTGGGTTAAGCTAGTGCAGGGCATGCCCTGGGGTAGTCATGTCATTGTTGCCAGGGTGCTGACAGCCCATCACTGATACCCAGTTTTGGCGATTCAGGGTCCCAGGCGATCTGCCCAGCAACTCAGGAAGGGGCTACGCCGACCCAGATGTCATATGCTTCTTCTATTAGAACACAAGCCAGGGATGACCAGTGGCCATCTCATCCTGCTCACCATTCTTCCAAGGGGAAGGGGGAACCCCATGTGTGGGCCATGGACTCCCAAGTGGGCACATGTAAGCACTTAGAAGCCCACGGGAGAGCTTCTGTTGAAGCAGCATGGTGCCAAATGCTGACTTTTACCTTATTTTCCTGTGGGTGCTTTCTGAGGCAGTCACAACTTCATGTTGTCAAGATATCTGTACCTCACCATGGCAAGCCCATGTCTGTTCTCCCACCCATGCAAGGCCTCTGCAGGCCCAACACTCAGCCTCCAACATGGGCCTGCACCGCTGCTTGCCACAATGCCACCCTGGTCAGTCCAGGGCAGCCCAGAGTGCCGGGATGCAAAACTCACACAGGGGCCGGTTTTGAACCAGTAACTTTCTCCCCTTTGGGCTGTGAAGCAGAAAGGCGCACGCCATAGCCAGGCATGAAGACTGCTTCTCCCCCTGGGTTTGAAGGATGGACTGACCTCGGCCTCCTCTGGCGGCTCTGTCCTCCTGTTGTTCTGCTGGGCTCAATTTAAAAAAATGACCACGCAGCTCCAACAGTGTGAACATTGAAAAATCAATGTCCAAAAATATAAGGTTTGGGAACTCTGCTTTGCCTTTTTTGGCATAATTTTGTTTCATTAAAATTCATTTTTAAAATATATGCACGTGATACAAAATTTAAAAGGTAGAAAAGGCTATACAGAGAAAAGGCAAACTTTCTTGTGTATCCTTTCATACACATACTGTGCGTGACGCGATGTCTGCCCTTAAGAGAAGAGCAGACTAACGTGTACCTGAAGAGTGGGTCCCTTTGGTGGCTTACTTCTAGGGCGGAGAACAGGGAAGGGAGTTTTCTCCTCTACCCTGGGGCCAGTCTCAGGGACGGTAAATTTAGGAAGGTTTCAGTCCCCATACCTGGGCTCCACACACTCTCCGTCTGAGTCAACAGTTACCCAGCACCTACAGCACTCCGGGCCCCACCTGGTTTGCAGCTCACAGAAAAGCTTTGCCCAGTTGCAGGGAGCCAGTGTTAGAGCTGCAGCATCAGACAAGCACCTGACCATTCAGGGCCAGTAGCCAGGCGCAGGCCCTCCAGGGCAGGCCATGGAAGGGGAGGTGTTTTTTATCCCTGCAAGGCCCTGTCCTTCCTAATGTGGGAGAAGGCACAGCAGACACAAAGCAAAACTGGCTGGGATTAGGGACTGTTCCAAATATCTACATTTCAAATCTCCCCATAGCTGCAGTTACTATGGCTACCAGGCCTCCTAGTAACAAGGCAGCCAGAGTGTTAACACTGGCCCCTTCCCATGCTGACCCTCAGGAGAAATCTGGAAGGCAGCCGAGACAACCCAAGGCAGAATGAAGCAGCAGCAATTAGGCTGTAGTTAACAATACCTCAAAGCACAGGGAGAAAAATAGACTGTGGTGTTTGTAAATGAGGCCCTGGCACGGAGGCATCCCGCAGCAAGAGCAGGTGTTGCCTGTGGAAGACTGTGGCTGGCAAGAAGGGGGCTGGGCTAACCAGGAAAAGGCAATTAAAGGACAAGAAGGGAGTGCTCTCCAGATGCATGTCCAGAGAGCCGATTTCCTGCTGCGCACTGAGCAATGACTGACACTCGCTGTCCGAGCCTGCCGGGTTAGGTGCCATCAGAGTGATTGTGGGCCTTGTGGCTTCATGGCTGAGACAGGCACTGGGGAGTTCCTCCTCCTGTCCACTTTGCTACAAGAACCTGCCTGATCCCGGGAGAAAGGGCCCTGAAGAAAGCCTCAGTGCTCCCCCAGGTCCATGACCGGTGGCTTACCTCCTCCTATGTCCCAGGGCAACAGGATACAGCTCAGGTGCTCCAAACCCATGGGTGTTTTCAAATGAGAGAAGCTCAGATAAATACAACCTCCAAATGTGTGTTTAATTTCCCTGAGATATTTGTTTCCGGGACACTGACTAGGAGGTCATATCTGCCAATGCCTCGTATGGCTGTGTTTTCCACACTTTTCAAAGGGTCTGTGTCATACACTTTTTTTATTGGTTTCTTAACTTTTACTATCATTATTGTTTTTTCCAATTATGAGAGTGATACATACTTGTAAAAACTTCAGAAAATAGGGCCAGCCAAGTGGCGCGTTGGTTAAGAGCTGGCTTGGGATGCCAGAGGGAACCGGTTCGGATCCCACATGTGAGGGCCACTGACACTGCCCTCCACAGCTAAGATGCTGAACAACAGCTCAACCTGGAGCTGGGCTGCCGTGAGTCGCTGGCGACAGTGTAGGCTGCAGCCCCTGTGGCAGTGGGTTGCCATGGGCTACCGTGTGTAGCCAGCAGCCAGCATGAGCGGCTAGCAGCCGCAGTGAGCGGCCATCCAGAAGCTGGCAACTGATCTGCCTCGCTCGGGAAGAGCGCAATGATGGTGCCAACTTGGGCCAGTGAAGCAATGTCCTCTACAACTAGACTGAAGAACAAAAGGTCAGCAACTTGTCTGTTCCCCTTCCCCCAATTCCCCAGCACTGTTCCATCCCCCCAATTCCCCAATAAAATCTTTAAAAAAAAAACTTCAGAAAATAAAAAGCATGAAGGAACTATCCAGAATGCTCCACTTAAAAGTACTAAAAATATTAATATTTTAATTCTAGATGTATTTATATAATTAATTTTTACAAAAATACATATATTTAACAGGACTTTTATATGATTTATTGTAACAACAATGGATACCGGAAATACATTTTCTTTTAACACTTATAAGTGACTTAACAATAGTATTGATACGGAGCTGTCAAAAAACATGAAACCTTTTTGTTAGCTGCCTTGTACACAGAGCAGTATATCCAGCAGGTGCTCAGGGGAGGGGTATACTGCTGAGCTGGAGAGAATTACACATCTGTTCAGGTAACAGCAGGTCAAAGAAATCTCTATGTGGATCAAATGTTTCTTTTTAGCCTGGTTATTATGATTTCATAGGGGCTAACGTTAATGACTTGGAAGTTTAATTAGTGGATATGCCTTCCAATTCTGATAGTGGCTTGTCTTAAAATTTTAAAGAAAAAGAGGAAACTTCATCTCAAAGTCATTATGGCTGGTGGCCTGTGTGACTGGAGCTGGCTGGTGATTCTCACTAGCAAGACCAGGCCCTAGGGAGAGCTCAGAGAGGGTAAGACAGATACAAGCACGTCCCATGGAAGAAGCCCAAGCGGAAATTGGGGGTGGCATTAACTGAGTACTGGCAGAGCAACAGACAGAAATATCTGGCTGTCTTAACATCTCACCGTTCTGCTTTTCTTCCATAATTTTTCCCCATTCAGCCTGAGTTCACCTTTGTAGAATGCATCTTCCACTTTGCTTTAAAACAAGAAGAAAAAGAAAAGAAAAAGGTCAAGGTGCTTTAAAATAGAAATGCATTCAAAACAATTATACAAGTCTGAGTAAAACACCTGCGATTAATGCTTACTCTGACAGTGAGTGACTGACCTCCCCACAAAATCACCATTCTGGGTGCTGGGGAAGTGAAAGTCAACTGCTCCCACATGTCTCTAAAACAGGGAGACGAAAGGGCACTTCTGAAAAGATGCTGACCTGCTGTAAAGGTGTGCTACTGCTATAGGGCAGGTGATGAGTACTGACGGGGCTTTCCCAGAGGGCTCAGGGCACGCCGTCAGCCCCAATGGGGACAGGGCCTGGGGTTCTCCACCTGACTGTGTGCAGTAGCTGCCTGCAAGGCAGGAGCTCCTGCGATTCACGACAGACAAGTGGGCACTCCCTTCCCCCTCACATACCTGTTCTGTGCTCTGAGAGGAAAACCAGGCACCACATCTATGCTGAGGCCATTAAGAAATCCTCTACTAGTCTGCATGGAGGTTGGGGGAGCTCCAATCCAGCAGCTGCTAAGCTCTCTGAATTTAATCACTGGGGCAACTAGACCAGGGGAGGATGCAGACAAAAATCAGTGCCTTTTCCTCTTGATGTTCTGACTCCAGGTGATTGACATCTGGGGTTCTGCTTAATAATTACAGCAGCAGCTACTACTCTGGGAGCAGGAGAAGCCCCTTTACAAGTTTTCCAAATATCAGAGAATACTTAACAAATCCCCATCAGGGTGCCTGCAGGCTCAGAGGCGCCTCTCTGAGTCCTTAAGCTTCACAGATTAAAAAATTAAACTATGCCATTAAATTAGGTCATAAAGGTACAAGTTGCAGAAAGAAATCTTTCTGAATTTATCATTCATACCATAATTCTTACATTGCATGCAGTATGCACACAATGATTGCCAAAGGAATGAATGAACAATGAGTCACTAGTCTTATGTAGCTAGTCTAGCAGAAATTGAGAATATTAAAGAAATCTTGAAAGTTACACTTAATATCCCTAGGCGCCATGTATGAACACATATAGCTAACATATACTGAGTACCTACTATGTGCCAGGCACTGCTATAAATGCTTTAAATAGAGAAAAACTCATTTAATCCTATCAACTACCTCCTAGAGTAGGTTCTATTATCTCCATTTGACAGATAAGGAAATGAAGCACAGAGAATTTAAGTAACTTGCCCAAGGTCATACACAAACCAGGATTGAAACCCCAGTGGTCTGGCTGCAGAGCCTGCATTCTTAACCACCATGTTATACTGCGTCCATTGATTCTAAGAGGGATCTTTTCACGCTGTAGCATTTGTAAAACCCAGGTGCATTTCATGTTTGCTACATACATCTAACATGGCAGTTCCTTTTCTCCTCAAAGCTGTTATTAAATCAGTGGTTCATCTTACAGTCTTACTTTTGAGTTTTAGAATCAAGGACATATGGCACATGGAGTTTGCAGGCAGTCACCTGACTTCTTAGGGAATTATTTTTCTCATCTATAGAATGAAATAATTGAAACAGGCTTCCTATAAGGCTCTTTCATATCTATGGTTACTCTTCACCACCATATGGGTTGTAGTGACTGGTAATGCTGCGTTAAAATAACCACCAAGACGACAAGTGATTTTGCAATAAAATGTGCAGCATACTTACTTTCTTCCAACATCGAGGCCTGTCTTCAGGATGATGTCATACCGGAAAGACTGCACTACTTTTTCCAGGTCTTTGTAGTCTTTGACCACACCGGGGTCACCCTCAAGCTCCTCTTCCTGCTCCGTCATCTCACCGTGATCCCTCTCTTCATCAGAGTCCTCTTCATCATCGACTTTCTGCAGAGTCTTTTTAGTGGATTTTTTAGAACTGAGATTACTTTTGAGTCTTATGGAAAAAGGGAAAATATATTCTGGAGATATTAAAAGCCCTGGGAGTCTCAGTGAGACAACGTTATGGAAAAGTGTTTTATAACTTGATGCATTTAATTTGGTACTAGAAAAATATAAGTATCGATTCCAAGAAGCACAGAGTTTATATGAAGGTGTCCCTCGCAGCACTCCCCAGAGTCCAATCCAGGCATCCTTTCTTAGAACACTGGAAGGCAATCTGACACTCATCATAGCCATTGTGCTTATAACCTGAAACACAATAATTCCGTTTTATTTCACAAGTGCATTGTTCTGGCATTCTTACAACAGAAACCATTCACACCATGAACACTTAATATCTAGTACTGTACTTAAGTTCCCCTACAATAGGCCATATTGGTCTGCATCTACTGAGGGCCATGCCCTGTACGTGATGAATCTTCAGGCTGTAATTAATGTGCTCACCTCACAGGGTGGTCATGAGGATGGAACTAGATACTAATATGTGTGAGGGCACTGGTTCTACACTTTCTAAACCCCAAATTAACTTGGGTACTGATTGCTACTGAAAAATATTAACAATAGTTCTTGATGATTTGTTTAAAAAAAAAAAATCTCAGGGAGAGAAAGACTATTTACTGACATATGTTACATTCGTACAATTTGCCCAGGAAGGACAACAGATCATGACCTCATAAAACCCAGAGTGAATCTCTAAACTTTATTTCAACGTCCAGTCCCAGCACATCGGAGCCAGGAATGAACAGATTGGACAGGTCTTCATTTTACCTCCTTTTACACCTTCTTGCCACTGTTTAACAGACGCATTAGCTAGCAGAGAAGGAAGAGGCGTAGAGACCCACAAACGAGGTTAATTGTTTCCTGAGGCACTAAGGTGCTGACATGCCAGAGAGCAATCAATTCCTACATTACCTCAAAGGCAGCAGAAACCATCTTCTTATGATGGTGGCAGACCTTCTCAAGTACATCAAGATGGTTTTATGACCATGATTTAGTAATGTGAGAAGGGTTTCCTTTGTACCATGGCTGTACTTTCAGACTGATTTGATAATGATTCGCATGAGTTTTCCTTCCTACTTTCCATTCATCATAAAGCTGACAACAGCAATTACCTGTAAGCCCACTCAAGAGTACATAGCGAGCTACTTCCAAGTTACATTTGTTAACATTTTGGCCCTTATTTTTGTTGGCATGAATGAGGCAGACGACACAGGCTCAACTCTATTATCTCATTGCTCTTGGGACCCCAATGTGAGTCTTAAATGAGAAATAAAGCAGGCTCAATTTAAGGGCTGTTTTTCAACACCACTATAATTTGAAACAATTTTTAAATGCTATGAAATCCATGGAGTACTCTAAAATACTGACGAGAAACTACTTTAAGCACCTTAAGGAGAAATATTGGTATTATTTGTGTATATATTCTAACTAATACAGAACAAATAATAATCATTTATAAAGAACCTTAAATTTTATATAAGCAGGGATAAAGGAAGAAAACAGTTTATTTCAGTAGTTCCCATGGATCACTACAATCAAAACATTTTTTTTAGAAATTTACCTAATGGTGGACTACTTTTTTTTTTTTTTAAAGCTGAGCCATCCTGCTACCGGTTGGCAGCTCAGTGGCTGCTCAGCTCGGGCCGGGAATCGAACCGCTGTTGCTCAGAGCTCAAACTCTTGAGCAAGCTCTTAACCAACTGAGCCACTCGGCTGGCCCTAGACTACTTTTTATTTTGCCAAATAAAGATTTTTTTTTTATCCTTTATTTTGTCAGGTAAGGATTTTTTAGTAATAATATAATTTTTAAGAGAAACGAGATTTCAATGTTTACATATGAAAAATATTTTCATATAAGGTAGAATATTTGAAAGAAATAAGGAAAATTCAAACCACCCGTAATCCACTCAGTGATAACTAACCACTGTTAATGTTTTTGGCATATATTCTTCACAGTGTAAAATTTTAAGAAAAGTAATTCACTCACAAGCAGAGCCTGTCATCCCTTCCCACCCACCCAAACACACAGGAAGTTGAACCATAAGTGGCCAGAGCTCTCTGTCATCAGCCTCAGGAATTCTGTGTTGGGCCTAAGCTCTAGGCTCACTGAAATTTATCCAGGTGGTGTCTAAGTTATGGGCCAAGACAGCCCTGGTGGAAATTGCCATCTGCTGTTGGGCCTAGACCAGAGTGGAGTATAAGATGCTCATGTAATGGAGATGAAGACTGACTTTAATAATGATTTGCCTATCTTTAGGTCAGTGTTTTTCAAACTGTGGGTCATGAGCCATTATTAAAATTTTTACTTTTTAAGAACTAAAATTGAAGGGTATACAAAGTATTACAGTGCACCGCATGTAGTAAGAGTAACTACTGATTCATGAAAGTTTTGTTACGATTACACACACACACGGTCATCCTGTAAAATGTATTTACTGTGGAACACAATAAAAGAAAAAAGTTTGAAAACTCTGGTCTAGGTGACTACAGCAAATTATTTTTTAATATCAGGTATAATGCCACAGGCCATATGTATGCCTGGGAGCTGAGGACCTGGCAGCATGTTCTATTCCAATTAACAGTAGTCGCAGAGCTGTATGTGTTTGCAGAGATGACAAGGGCAGCCTCTCAGGGACAACTCTGTGCAGGACCCTTATTTTACAGATGAGTACAAATGAGACTTGGAGCAACTGAACAAGTTGCTAAGTCATACAGCTAGTAGGTGGGTGGTACAGCCAGGGTTCCAATGCTGTCTTCTTAACCCTCATTGATTACTATGGGTCAGACACTGCTCTACATATTAACTCATTTATTCCTTCCAACAAGCCCATCTCAGTTACAGGGTCACACAGATACTAAGTGGATTCACACCCAGGCTCCCTGGCTCCTAAGTCGAAGCTCTTTACCACCATGCGGAACTACCCACCATTCTTCTGTCTCCAAGCGCATGGCTCTTTCTGCTACCCCATGACATTTTCTCATTTTCTTTTAAACAAAAAGCTAACCTTCACTGACTGTAATACCAGAGAGAGTGGAAAGTTTCAGGAGTAGAGGACAGCGAGGAAGCGTCACCCCCACTTAGAAGAAATCCTGGGGGGAGATCCTATCTCTGTCAGTCCCTGGACCTCCACACCCCACCCCCACCCCCCAAAGTCCTGCCTTTTCACCACTGTTGTCTCCTGTGAGGAATGCCTGGATATGATGGTGCTCTCTGCACACATCACAAATAGAGTTATATTTACCTACACTAGGAAACTTAACTAGCACAAAATTCCTGTTTAAAATCACACTCACATGTAATTACAACAAACATAACCAAAATGTCAAGCCAAGTATGACCTCTGTATATATATATTAGCTACTCACTCCCTCTATTTCTGATCTGCTTCGCTCTCCAGCAGGCAAACTTTGGTAAATGCTCGAAGTTTACATAAAATTTGTGAACATAATATTGAGAAAACACATTACCCTAATTCTTGCTGGAGATAACCATTTATAGATGTTGGCAGTGGATAGCCAGGGCCATGGGTAGGGTCTGACAGCCCAGGTTCTGCCTCAGAGCTTTGAAACTGGTCAGCAGATTGGGAATGCCAGAGGAGAGGGCTAACTGGGCCCCAACCCCTCTTCAACCAGAGTAGCGGTGTTGGCAAATATATTTCCTTTGAAAAAATGGATTCTACCACTGAAAAAAAAAGTTTCTGTCCCTTTAGCATGGCTCCATATAAGATGCACAGTCCTCCTTCACCCTCCCCTGCCCGCTCACCATGCACTTTTCCAAACTCATGCTGTACCAGTGCTATATGTCTTTTGTACTATTGTTATATCCCAAACTCTAAAGGGTAGTGGCAGGGCAAGAACTGTGCCACATTCCTCACTCCCATCCCTAATCTGCTCAGCACATATAAAACCAGTGAATACTTGAAGATTCACTTTCAAGGAATGAAATGAGGGGCCGGCCAAGTGGCGCGGTGGTTAAGAGCTGGCTTGGGACGCCAGAGGGCCCCGGTTCAGATCCCACATATGAGGGCCAGTGACACTGCCCTCTTCAGCTAAGATGCTGAATAACAGCTCAACCTGGAGCTGGGCTGCCGGGAGTCGCTGGCGACGGCGTAGGCTGCAGCCCTTGCTGCAGTGGGTTGCCGTGGGCTACTGTGTGTAGCCAGCAGCCAGCGTGAGTGGCCCTCAAGCCGCCGTGAACGGCCGTCCAGGAGCCGGCGACTGATCTGCCTCACCCGGGAAGAGCGTAATGATGGTGCCAACTTGGGCCAGTGAAGCAACATCCTCCACAACTAGACTGAAGAACAAAAGGACAGCAACTTGTCTGCTCCCCTTCCCCCAATTCCCCAATAAAAATCTTTAAAAAAAAAAAAATGAAATAAGCATTCTACCTACTATTCCATCCACCTCCACACTCACTTGTTTGCCTGCATATGCCAAGTGGCCAGCGAGGCCTACGTATAAAATATAAAATACACAGTCCTTGTCCTCAAGGAGCTGCCATGTACGTGGAATGTGGACCAGTAAACTGACTACCGTGGTCCAGAGGATGGAGGCTGGACCCTGCACAGGCTGGAGCCCAGAGCTGGGATGCCTGAGGAGAGTTCTGATGGCAAAGGTGGCCTGAATCTAACCTTTGGGGACACAACAAGTTACAACAGTAATTTTTCGCTTTCTAATGGACCATTCTCATCAGCATGCTGTTACTTCTCATTCAAACACAAACCAACCAACCTTCTGTTATCCACTACCCCCCAGCCACTACCTCCTTTTTGCTCCTCTTTACAACAAAACTCCTCAAAAGGGCTGTCTATATTCTCTTCAATGCCTCTCCTTTTCTAAATCCACTTGGCTTCCAGGACACCTTATTCTCCTACCTTACACGCTGCGCTTTCTCAAGACTCCTTTGTTGCTTCCTTCTCTTCTCCCTGACATCTTAATGCTGGAGGACACCAGGGCTCAGTCTTTGGTCCTCTGCTCTTCTACATTCAGATCACCCAGCTCAGTCTATCCATCAGTTTTGACAAATGCATATGAAGACAACGGACATTTCCATAGCTTTAAATACCACCTATATACCAACTATTCTGTAATCTATATCCCCATTCCAGACCTTTCTTCTAGTTTCCATACTTGTATATCTGTGCAGAAAAGAGTTAATATAGGAGGCCTGAGACTGCTATCCTTAGAAAGGTCAGCTTGCAAGGTAGCCTTTGGCTGATGTCTGGGAACTTGAATTTCAGGAGGGTTCTCACCATTTCCAAAACGGACAGGAGTAGCTCACTGTGCCTAAACTGTTTGTATAGTTTGATTTATGCTGAATACCTGCTTTCCTTCTCGGAGGCTGGAACTTTTGTACATTCTCGGTAGAGGGTGCCTCTGTGACCAAGTCCTAGTAAAAACTCTGGGCCGAGTCTCTAATGAGCTTTCCTGATAGACATTTCGCATATATTGTCACAATTTGTTGCTGGAGGAATTAAGTATGTCCTGTGTGACTCCACTGGCAAAGGACTCTTGGTTTGGGAGGCTGGCTCCTGGTTTCCTCTAGACTTTGTCCCATGCGTCTTCTCTCTTGCTGATTGTGCTTTCTATCCTTTTGCTGTATTAAATCATAGCCGTGCACCCCAGCTGGGTCCTGCTGAGTCTTCCTAGTGAATCAGTGAACTTGGAGGTAGCCTTGGGGACCCCTGACATGATATCTAACGGCCTATTCAATATCTCTATTTGAGTGTATAACAGGCACCTCCAAAACTGGTCCACAAACAAACTCATGATATATCCCCAGTCCCAAATCTGCTTTACCTGCAGCCTTCCCCACCTCCGTTAATGGTAACTCCACCCTTCTAGTTGCTGAGAACAAAAGCTTCCAGTCATTCTTGACTCTGCCCTTTCCCTCATACCCATATGCATTATGTCAGGAAATCACATTGGCTTATCTTCAAAACATGACCAGTAGCCTGCCACTGCCACTGCCACCACAGATTCAGGCCACCATCATCTACCACTGCTAGAGTCTGTTCTCCATTGGGTGGTCAGAGTGGTTCTTTTCAAAAGTAATTTACACCACGTCACTCCTTTCCTCAAAACCCTACAAAAGCACGGAGAAAAGCAAAATCCCTACCGTGGCTTACAGGCTCTCTCTGATCTGGCCCCTCCATGTCCTCTCTGACCTTATCTCCTGCCTCTCTCACCCTTCCTCTCAGCTCCAGCCACACTGGCCTTCCTGCTGCTCCTCATACACAACAGGCACATCTGTTCCAGCTGCACCTGGAGCGGTCTTACTCCAGATGTCTGCATGGAAAGCTCATCTTCACTTCAATGAGGTTTACTCACTCCAACTCTATTTAATAGGCATCGTGTCCTCCCAATCTCCCCTCACTATGCTCTGCGTCCTTCCCCCACTATTATTACCTGCTATCATAGTCTATAATTTGCCAGTTTTTTTTTTTTTAACCTGTTTCCCCTACTAGAAGATAAACTCCACAAGGGTGGGGACCTTCACCTGTGTTTTTTTCCTCTGCTGTATCCTAAGTGCCCCGAATAGTGCCTGGCACAGAGTTAAGTGCTTAATTACTGTGGAATGAAAGTAGATCAGAACTGTAGCATTAGAATGAACCCGGAAAAGAAAAAAAGATGGGAATGGGTTGATACGCAAGAGGCTAGATCTCCAAGGGCCTTGCATAGCAAAGTCTGGACTTAACCCAGAGCGCAGGGGAGCCACAGATAGATCTTAAGTAGGGAAGTGATCCCACAGGAGTGCATTTTAAGAGATTTCGTTGGCGACAACGTGGACGTAAGCAGGGTGGCAGGAAGCCCGACGGCAATTTCGGGTGAGATATTCAGGAGAGATACAAAATCTGTGAACTAATCTAAGGCTGTAAGAGGCAATGCTGTCCTTGACCTGTGGAGATCGGTCCACGTTCCTGAGCCTGTTCACTACTCCGTAAGCATAACCTGGTCTAACTACTTGTCTATGGCACTAAAAATCCTCCCTTCTCCTGGTGACCTCAGAGGGGAACTACCTGCTGAGACCGGGTCGGATTCCCCTCGCTCCCTTCCCACTCCCGCGGGGTGCGCACCTCCCCAGGTTCTCAAGGTCAAGGGAAATTGGACACCTGCGTCCTGGAGCTCGCGGTCTGCGTCTGGAGCCAGCAGTAGGTGCCGGGCCCAGGGGCGACAGCCTCTGCACTCCGGGTTCCCACGGCCCCTATCGCCCCCGGGTCCAGGGGGCGTCCCGAGGCTGGCCCGGCCAGGCCAGGATGCGGGAGACACTCGTGGAGATCTGGCAAGAAGCGCGGGCGGACAGAAGCGCTCACCGCACCCCTATGACACAAGCGCGCGTGGTGTAGCAATAGAGTGAGGGGGCACCCGCGCCAGGAAGGAGCACAGTTACCTGTAGGTTATGGCCGCTCCTCCCCCCTCCCTCCTCTTAGCCGCGCTGACCTCCGGCCTCCAGGCCCCGCCCTGCTCATGCCCCGCCCCTTCCGTCAGCGCAGGCGGGGCAGAGGGGGCCGGGCGGGGCACACGGGAGCAGCGGCGGCGGCGCAGCGACCCCTGCTGGAAGCCGTGCTTAGGAGGACCACACGGAGGAGGACTACGCGGGGAGGGCCACCCAGGGGACACCCCGGTTCTGAGCCGAGCTCAGTAGCCAGCACAGCGTGGTTCCACGTGTCTGAAGGAAGCTTATGCTAATGCGGTGGGCCTTGTATTCTCTCGGACGATCAACCATTTTTAACATCTTTGAAAGTTATAGACATTGTCTCCAGAAAAGTGTGCACACCCGCCAGAATTGACTGACAATATATAGGAAGTTCAGAACATCTTTTCAAGAATAAAGCGATTAAAAGATCAACTGGGGGAAAAAAAAAACATCAACTGAGTCATATTTGTCCAGGTTACGGGTCAGACAGTAGGTGTTAGATAGCATAAAACAAAACATGTAAAAAGATGAACCAGAAATTAAAAGAACTTCCAAGGGACAACCTGTTTAATGAAGTTTTGTACATGTTCACGTTAATGTTCATTGGGACACATGCTCTGTTAAATTAGAAACAGTCATTTTTCTTCTTGTTTTCAGAGCGTCCTCCCTTCCGTTTCCTGTCCACACTTTCATTTCACTGCTTCCTCACGGCTTCACACAGTGGCTACTTGATAACACTTGTGCAATAAGAAAAAGCAGTTACAAATCTTTTCAAGTGCTGAAGTGATACAACTTTATTATATCAATTCAGTTTATTCTGTTCGCATTTTATACAGGCGATAGTTACATTTACTAGTTTAAGTTGTTCGTAAAATATTACAGATATATTGTTAAATCTTTCAGTAATAGGGATTAATCAGTATTATTATAACCTGACAAAATTGGCGTTTGACCATGATTTATTTAAGGGTCTTAGGGTTTGCAAACCGGAAATACAACTAGGCAATACCCAGAGTGTTCCAAAGAAGAAAGAAAGCAGAGGGTTCTTATGGTAAAAAGTGCAGCCTTGAGAAGAACCAGTCCTGCATTCTTAGCCCCTGGATTGGCCTGAGATGGTAATCCTCAGTGGTCTGGATATTGGATGTCAGGTGGTTTGGATACGTGAACATTCTTTCCTTAGTCCTTCAGGGGGTAATCAGAGAGTTATCTGGAAGTTTGACGTATATCCAGGTATTGATGCAGAACTGGAAAGTTCAAAAGTTTAAGTTCCCAGCCTAGATAAAACAAGAATAGAATCGTTTTTTCATACTTCAATCTACTTGATTTTAATAATTTAGCAGCTTAGATGTAGTGACTCAGTTTTATTTCTTTATTTGTCATTATGCATATATTCATGATTTTCAATTTTTTTCACAGAACCTCCCATTCCTTTCCCACATTGGACAGGAGCCCCTGCGATAGTGCATGATGGGGCTTGTAGTTTTCACAGGTTTAGACCCTCTAGTGGACTAAGTTCCCATTTCAGTCAATAGGGCTGCTCGGTTTCAGATTACAGAACACAGACCTGAGCTCGAAGTTGAGCATACAAATCTGGGTTCCAGCTTTTAATTTAGCTCAAATACTTGAAAGAACATAAAGAGATGAGTAAATCAGACACTGTTTTTGGTCGGGTCCTGTAGATGAGTTTAAAGTTATTTTTTAATGAAAGAGGAACAGCCTCACTTTTGATACTCTGAGCCTTGTTATTGGCTGGGTTTTGTTTTCTTATATTTTTTCTTACAATTTATTTACTAATCTATTTTCTTTGTTTGTTTTTTTGTTTGTTTGTTTATTTAACTTACTTGGAGAGGAAAGTTCCTTTCTACTGTCTCATCTTATGCAAACCTCAAAGTCAGCTAATCACCAAAGATATTTTAAGAGCAATCCATTAAAAAGCCCCATTTCTCCATTCTGAACACCATCTCCTTTTACCTCAAGGAGCTTACTCGTTAGATTCTGCTCTTTCCTGAAATTTTCTCATTCTTCCAAATCAATCCTGCCAGCCCACAAACACAAACATGTAACAAGTTCTAGTTATATTAGATATATCTAAGATATATGAGATATTTTTTAATTTTTAAAATTTAATAGCAATAATGTAATGATACTTTTAAAAAATATATTTTTATTGGGGAATTGGGGGATGGGAACAGCGTTGGGGAATTGGGGGTAGGGGAACAGACAAGTTGCTGTCGTTTTGTTGTTCAGTCTAGTTGTGGAGGACGTTGCTTCACTGGCCCAAGTTGGCACCATCATTACGCTCTTCCTGGGCGAGGCCGATCAGTTGCTGGCTTCTGGACAGCCGCTCACTGTGGCTGCTGGCTGCTCACGCTGGCTGCTGGCTACATACGGTAGCCCATGGCAACCCACTGCCACAGGGGCTGCAGCCTATGCTGTCGCCGGTGACTCACTGCAGCCCAGCTCCAGGTTGAGCTGTTGCTCAGCATCTTAGCTGTGGAGGGCAGTGTCACTGGCCCTCATATGTGGGATCTGAACCGGGGCCCTCTGGCGTCCCAAGCCAGCTCTTAACCAACGTGACACTCGGCCAGCCCGTAATGATACTTTTTTCACTCCACTTTATTTTTGAGATTCATTCCATACCTATACATACATTTTAGCTCTTTTACACAATTCATATATAAATTATTCCCAGTTTGTTTCCTTCTTAAAGGACAATTAGTCTCTTTCAAACATTATAGGAATGAGCACTTATGCAGGTATCACTGTGTAAAAGTTCCTTTAGGGTGTTTACTTAGAATAGGAGTCTCTGGGTCCTAGAACAAGTGTTACTGAAACCCCAGTTTTTCCTTGATTCCACCTGCCTGCACACACTGGCTCAAAGAAATGCACGAGCAGAAATTTGCAATATAGAAAGAAAAAAAAAAGTTTAATATTGAATTGGCCAATTCAGAGATGGAGAGTCTATGTGCTAAAAAAATCCCACCACCACTACCAACAAAAAAACCCCTGACTCTCCAATGGTGTATTGGTTACAGGTTATATAGGGCAAAAAATCACAAGGCACCTTGGGTTAAGTGTTTGTGGTCGTGCTGAGAGTTGATCAGTTGGAGGTGAGGTAAAAGGAAAAAAAATTATTTCTTCAGGTCTTGAGGACAGTTCTGAAGTCTTTTCTGGTGTCCCTCTGTCCAGTCTGAGGGGGAAGTAACCAGGGGGTCACAGGATGTCATTCTACCTTAGGGGTCAGGAGCTGAAACTTACCTGAGGTCAAGATGTTATCTTTAGCTGCCAGAGGCCTGGACCTTGTGACTATTAGTCAGGTCTGGGTTCCTACCTTCTGTTGCCTGAAGGGTTCCTGATTATCAGGAGAAAGGCTGGGTCTTTGGTGGTGGTGGTGGTGGAAGGGGGCGGTGTGTGTGTGGGGGGGGTGATATGATTTCTAGAGCTAGGATTTAAATTTAAATTTAATCAAAGTCATAAGGACCCTTTGTTTCACAAGAATGTTTTTCTTCAATCTTACTAAAAATGGCCTAATTATATTATACTAATGTACACTTGCACAAGCTCATGACAGTCACATTTCCCCCTATTCTCCTTAATAGTTCATGTTATCAGGTTTTTAAATATTGCCAATCTCATGGATGAAAAATGGTACCTTGTTTTAATTGGTAAACTTTCCCTGATTGGGAATGAGATTGAATATCTTTTTGTATTTAGATTTTCTCTCTTTAATTTGCCTGTTTATATCCTTTGCCCACTTTTTTATGTAGCTGTCTTTTCCATTCATTTGACTTTCCCCTGAAGGTCAACACCAGTCCCACCGTGTATGGGCATGCACAACTCTAGGAACTCACTGCATACTCATCTGCAGAATCACTTACATTAATCACACCCATGAAGTCATTCAGTGCCTTCACCCTACTACCCATGCTTCTGATTTGGGTTTGATTTCCTTGCTTCCTTAAAAAAATTATTTAAAAAAACAATCACATATGTGTGTTTCTCTAAACAATATATTGATGAGTTTTGTTCTTGAAATTTGCATAAATAGTATCACACTAGATGTCATACATATGACTATAGGTCACACATATGACTATATGTCATCAACATACTATATCTTTATGACATGTTTTCATTGAACATTAGGTTTCTAATATTCACCTATTTGTTGCTGGCAGCTGTAGTTCATCCATTTTTTTGCTTATAACATTTCATAGTGTGATATATCATAATTTATTTTTTATTCTGTTGATGGACTATGACTTATTTCTACATTTTTAAAATTTTTATTTTGCTATAATGAAAAATGCAGCCAAAATAGTCTTTTGTATATATCTAGTATACATGTGCCAGAATTTTTGATAGGGTATTAATTTAGGAGTGGAATTTTAAGAATGCGTATGTCCAGTTTTCTAAGATAAGCTAAATTATTTTCCAAAATGATTATAACAGATATTATCTGATTAAGTAGTGTGTGAGACTTTCCATTGGTTCATATCCTTGCTAACAAGTACAGTTTACATTGTCACACTTCTTAATTTTTACCAATCTATTGGGTGTGGAATGGTATCTCATTGTGCTTTTAAAGTTAGCCATCTTTTTATTTGTTTATTAGCAATTTTTGTTTTCTCTGCATTTGTTTTGCTCATTTCTCCCTATTTTTATTGTTTTTATTGGACTATATAGTGGGCTGAGTTGTGTCCCTTTAAAAGATATGTTCAAGTCCTCAACCCCAGACCTCTGGAAATAGGGTCTTCCAAGATGTAATCAATTTAAGATGAGCGTAAGAGTAGGCCCTGAATCCAATAATTTGGTGTCTTTGTAAGAAAACAAGGGGGAAATTTGGATATAGACACATAGTGGATACATACAGGGAAGAAGGTCATGTGATGATAGAGGCAGAGATTGCAGTGACACAGCTACAATCCAAGGAATAGCAAGGATTGCTGGCAACTGTCAGGAGCTA